TTGTGTGATGCTGTCATGTCAGCATGGACGAGAATATCTGAGGAATGTTTCCAAGTAAAGAGACTTAGGGGTTTTTTGTTGTTGTTTTTGAATGCTAATTCAATCATATCAATAAAAAAATGGGCAAATGCCAGCACAAACAAGTGAGCACTTAAATTCATTGGATCTGTGATTAAATAACCAATGATCGATTAGGGAAGAATTTGTTATTTGAGGATGTGACATTGTAGGGAATATTTTTTTAAACGTGCTTTTAGACAAAAAAAAAAGTTGATCTATCAAATAATAAAAATGACCACTGATACTTTGATAATTGTATTGACAATAAAAAACTTCACAAGTACCACATGAAAACATTATTGTTTAATGCATATGTACCCTGTGACAACTTGCTTATATAGATGATACATTTATTGAAAGTGCAGGAAAACATGACTGGTTAAGCTGGAAAAAAATTGCATATAATAAAAAAATTATTTTAATTGCATTAAAAAAAACTCATGCTGATCACTACCATATTTCTTCATTTGGCATGCAAATCCAGTTTAGTGCCACAGCCAGCCTGGTGGGGGCAGAGGCGTGACACCTCTAGAAGTTTGATTTGAACCTGGTGGACTTTGGAGGCCAGCACAGAACCTCCAAATCACAGAACAGAAGGGCACACATCGGAATCATGAGGGATGACGCAACAAAGAATACAGACAAACAAAGGGTTTAAATACACTGTGATAAAACAATGACCCACGCATATAGCGTTGTATGGTGAATGACTTTACTGTATTTGCTGAATTTCTCTTTGCAGCAGTTTTTCAGCTGCTTCCTCCTCTGCTGCACATCACACACACCTGTTCCCTCAGGTCCTTGCATCCATCTCAAATGGGTTAGACACGATGAGGTCAGGTGAGTGGATAAGCCTCCCCTGACACCACTGCTCCTCCCACTACACCCTCCACTGGAGGGGCATTATCCAAACAGAGGGTCAAAAGGTGGCTAAGGAGGAGAAGAGAGCTCTTTTTTGGTCTTGGGATGTAGGCAGGATGCAATGGGTGCTGTTTTAGCCATCTAAGGGCGGGCCTGCCTTCCTCCCAAGAGGTACACCAGATACTGTACCTTCTTGCATCCAACCGCACACTTTTTTTGGTGGGTCGTGAGCCCTGCCTGCCTCAGGGTCACCAGGACTGCAGCCACCAACTGCAGTCCTGGTAGAATGACACCGTCATCTTAGTAGGTGGCCACATATGCACCATGTGGAGGCAGCACCCAGTTCATGAGTTGCTGGAAAATGGCTGGGACAACTGGTACAAACCGTATGGAGTGGAGAAGGCTGCTTTATCCTTGGACTCTGCAGAGAAGGGGAACTGCCAGTTGTTCTTGGTCAAATCCAGTTTAGTAAAACTGGTCCAGGAGCTCATCAACCCGGGGCATGGGATAGGCATCAAACTGTGACACCTCATTCACCTTGCAGTAGTCAACACAGACTCATATAGACCCATCTTTCTGTACTACAAGAACTATGGGGCTACACCATGCGGTGTCCGACTCCTCTATTACCCCCATTTTCAGCATTTTGGCCAATTCTCTCCGAATAATTTGACTCTTATCCTCAGGTAACCTGTATGGCAGGGAACACACTGTTACACCAGGCTGCGTTTTAAAATACCACTCTATGAGATTTTGCACATCCGGGCTCGGAGGAGAACACATCTGCAAACCACTATTGCAATACAGCAACATAACCTAAGTAATCTGGCCGGTCCCAGCTCTCACCCGAGGAACGGGAGCAGTGATTTTGCATCTGCAAATGTTTTTATTGTAGCTCGTCTGATCAACTCCTAGCTTCCTGCTCCAAATGTATAAAAGGCTCCACCCACAGGTACGTTCGGGGATAATCGTGGGCGGATCACGATTTTCTCTCACATGAGTGTCCTCAGGTAGCTGTCTGAATGCTGGACACTCGGAGACCTGTGTCTCTGAGTGGGAGACCAGAGATCATATTAACATGTGTGTCTCTGTATTAACAAACATGCCATATTGGCTTAGTTTATTATTATTATTATACATTATTATTAGTATGTAAAATAATTAGTTTATTTGTTATGGATAAAAAGTGTCTTTTTTTGTTTCAAAATAGCTGATAACGATTCGCTGATAGCTGCCAACATCTGCGAACAAATATAATTCTAGAAAGTGGTTCTATATAGTGTGTAACTGTTAATATAGAGCGTTATTAAATTTATTGCTAATGCAATCATATGGCACACTGACCTCTGAGGAAATTATAAAATGACACTCGCCATCAGAAAGGTTGCCTAGCCCTGCTTTAGACACTGGGTTAGGGCCAGTCCTTTGCCAACATTCTGGTCCCCAGCAAATTGGCACAATGTTGCAGCAGCTGCACACCCCGTGGCAATGAACTGGGTCCACACAGCCATGTTCTCATGTCATCCAGGAATAGGTAGGACCCCTTCCTTAATTAGGAGATACTTCTGGTGGGACACTGTTGACGAGGATGCCAGGGATTATGTGGCAGCCTGCACTACCTGCGTATACTATAAAAACTCCACTCAGCACCGCACGGGTCTGTTGCAGCCCTTGGTTACGCCTCACTGGCCTTGGTCGCAAATAGCATTAGACTTTGTCACAGGGCTACTTGTCTCATGAGGAAAGACTACCATCCTCACCGTCATTGACAGATTTTCCAAGGCTGCGCATTTCATAGCATTAGATAAGCTTGCCACAACCACAGAGACTGCCTGAATCATAATGGAACAGGTGTTCAGGCCCTCAATTCACATCACAGGTGTGGAAAACTTTCTGCTCCGCTCTTGGAGATAAACCCTACCTCAGCTCAGGTTATCACCCACAAACTAACAGTCAAACAGAATGCCTTAATAAAGAACTGAAAACCACCCTCTGCTGCTTGGTCACCTTATCTTCCTTGGGTGGAATATACACATAACTCATTACCTCCTCTGCTACAGCTCTGTCTCCCTTTAAAGCCTCCTTAGGGTATCAACCCCCATTGTTTCAGGAACATAAGGTCGAGCTTGTTCTGACTCCCACATACACTCCTGGACAAAAGGTATGGCTTGCAGCTAAGGACATCCAACTTCTTGCAAGCTATTGCCATGCTACATCTGACCTTTTGAAGTGGACAAAGCCATCAGCACTTCAGCGGTCAAGCTGAAGCTTCCTTCATCGCCTCGGTTTCATCCCACCTTTCGAGTTTCTGGACCAGTTAAAACCAGTGCTCTCTAGTCCTCTGTGTCCACCTGGATGCTGGTCAACCTTAGAAACTCTAACTGCTGCTCATTGACTCACCACTCCTCACCTCCCTGCCCTCCTGCCACTGCAGTCCCTGGATCACTGAATCATCAGGATGTACTCTCAGCTCACTCTCATCCCTTTGGACACTCACCCGGCCAACATTGCCTCCCCCCTAGGCATTCCGGTTACATCTCCTCCTGTCTCCTTACCACAGTATCACTTCTAAGCTCTCTTTCCCTCTGTTTCAGAGACCCCTTTTTAAGTTTCATGCACCACGCATAATTCCTTTGTGTACAGTTTTCACTTGTGTTAATAAAGTCACATTAACCTAATCCCTGCTGTCCTGTCTGAGTCTGCATTTGGGTTCACATTTACATACTGGCCTCGGCTTGCCTTGACAGCCTCCCCTGACACCACACTCTGAGCCCACTGCTCCACTCCTCCCCTGCAGCTGAGCCACCAACCACACCCTGCCACAAGGTTCATGATAAATCTAATTTCATTCTATGTTAAATTTCAACCAAAACCTTTGCTGACATACCTCTTTTAGCCCAACTGATCAGTTCAATATTAACCCTTTAGAGCTGGTCAGAGCGGGCACGCTCTGTGATGAAGTGATAGTTAGGGCTCTTCTCCATACAGTAGTATTTGCTCCTCCATACAAGTATAAGGGCTACTTCAAGTTTAGATCTGTCAGCACTATTTTGCTATAGTGAGAACAAGAACCTAAATTGTACATTAAAGTGACTGAAGTAGCTAGCACATTTGGTTTCTAGTAATGTCTACATTAATACATTTTTGTTTGAAAGCGCATCTTTTTCTCTCCGTTTTGGCCTTCCCTCCACACTGAGACTGCGTTTTTGGTCAAGGCAAACAGGGCTTTTTGAAAATGCTCTCCAAAGTGCATACATTTGAAAACAGCGTTTTCACGTCGCAGTGTGGACTGCGAAAACGCGGAGGCTTTCGAAAACGATGATGAATTTTAGTCATACGATGCAGTCATGTGACCAATTAAACTAAGATGGCGGAGGCAGTTGTTTTGTTTGATCTCAACTTTGACAACCCTATTAAAGATTAATATCAGTTCGTACATGCTCCACATAGCTTTTCTTCAAATTCTTTAATTCTCACTTGCTTTTGCAACTTTGTACTTTTGTGTTACTGGCAGCAACAACTCCACATCATTGTCAGTCTATTTAAAAAGTTGTTGGAGATCTTGTCAAAATTGATGGAATTATAAATAGATATAAGCATTGTCAAAGTTTCATGCACCGTGCAATACTACATGGAAAGCATCTGAGTGGCAACAGCTAATTTTTCAACATGACTATGATACCAAAACCAGTGGCAATACAGTAAAACCATACCTAGATAAAAAACAAAACAAAAAACACTACAAAAACAGTAGAACACTTCGAATTGGCGTCCAAGAGCCCTGACCAGTGAACTGTCCACTGTGGGCAACTGCTCACAGTAGCCCCACATGGGCACCAACAGGGCATTTTGCTGGGGCAATATTTAAATGATTCCTATTTTTAGGACTGAAGATTGTGCCAACTATGGTCTAACAATGATGCGTAGTTTAAAAGTAACAAACTCAGGAACACTGCTCAGTGAGTTCTACGTTTAAATTGTCAACAGTGGTCACATCAAAAGCAGCGCGATTCTGAATCTCCGTGTGTGTGTGTGTGTGTGTTCACAGCCCGTTTTCTACAGTTCTAAATCCGTGTGACGTCACTCTCCCAGAATGCCTGGCTTCCAGCGCGGCGCCCAGCAGTCAAGGCCCGAAGTCCAACAAACACCTTTAAACTTGTTGCAAAATGTCGACATGGAGTCGGAGCGGAGGCTGGACGGAGAGGTGGACCTAGGCTCAGTCGGTAAGTACCACCGATCCCTCGTCTGATCGGCCGAGCTGGAGTTTAACGCTGCTGGGCAAAGTATGTGAGTTAGCTCCTGCGAGACAAACTCCGACGCAAGTTAGTGAAGCGTTCATCTTTTGTTGTTTAATCAGCTTGTTGGCTCGGTTAATATCGGGACTTCATCCTTAGCTGCACTGACACCAGTCTGTGGATGTCCCTGATATAAAGCACGTGTATTATAGACCCAATAAACATGGTAATACACAAGTACTAAACCTGATTTCACATCCACTGCCGAATGTTGTAAACGCAGGCAGGCTAGCGGTCATATTTAGCCCGATGTGGTAATGACCCTGTCCACCCGCCCCCCACCCCCCACTCCCCACTCTTGTCAGTCCACAAAGCTGCGTGGGCTCAGTTTCCCGGCGGTCGTCAACTCATCAGTTTGGCTCCTTCACCAGGAAGGTACTTAGTAGTTGAGTTCAGGAACTGAAAGTTATTAGGCAGAAATTAATTTGATTGCAGCTCAATACTTAGGACCCACAAGATGGCACTGCGATATCCCGGCGCTACTTTTCGTGTCAGCTTCATTCAGTGCCTCTGTCCAAGTTAGAAGAACGGGGACCTCGTGTTCACGAGCATCGTGGAAAAGCACCAACTTTCTCCCAGTCACAGTGTCAGCTAAACAAGTGAAACTGAGCGAGAGCTATGAAAATAAACATTGGTGAATTCTAAGGCTTTAAAAATATATTTACCAACAACATTATTGAAAGTGAACACACATTTTTATACATGGGAATAAAATATTTAGTCTAACATCACGGTTTAAATGCTTTAAATGGAAACAAAAAACCGTGACTTATTCTCTGCACAGAGTAAAAGCAGTTCGCCCAGCACCAAAGCCTGCTCGTGAATTTGTATGTGTCAAGTGAACTTAATGATGCACTTGACAGTAAAACTGCATGTACTAACTAGAGAAGTTATATAGCAAACGTTTGGTTATTACTAACGGGCCCAAACATGTAAACGCACACGCAGTGGCCACTGGTTTAGGCTGATGGAGATGACTGATCACAGGCTTTGACCCCATAGCCACATTTCCAAACACGCTCACAAATGTGAATGTGAGAATAACATAAAGAGAATAATCTGTGAGCTTCCTAATAAGTCACAAGTAGCAGCCATAATCACTTTTACATCAACACATTGCGAGTAGTAGGGCTCCATGATTATGGCCAAAACGATTATCACAATTATTTTTATCAGTACTTCGATTGCAGTTATTTTTGACAATTACTCATTGAATTTGGTGACAAAAATGTTTTTATTTCCATGTCATAAACACTGCATTCACATTTTTCATTTTTGCAGAAATCTTTGCATTAAAATAAAGCAATTCCTGTTCATTTAAACAAATTGAGTGCATCTCATAGAAGAAAAAAAGTATAAATGAAAAGATTTTACAGTACAATACAATACAATACAGTTTTATTTATATACAGTGGGGCAAAAAAGTATTCAGTCAGCCACCGATTGTGCAAGTTCCCCCACTTAAAATGATGACAGAGGTCAGTAATTTGCACCAGAGGTACACTTCAACTGTGAGAGACAGAATGTGAAAAAAAAATCCATGAATCCACATGGTAGGATTTGTAAAGAATTTATTCGTAAATCAGGGTGGAAAATAAGTATTTGGTCACCTCAAACAAGTAAAATCTCTGGCTCTCACAGACCTGTAACGTCTTCTGTAAGAAGCTTTTCTGTCCCCCACTCGTTACCTGTATGAATGGCACCTGTTTGAACTCATCATCTGTATAAAAGACACCTGTCCACAGCCTCAAACAGTCAGACTCCAAACTCCGCCATGGCCAAGACCAAAGAGCTTTCGAAGGACGCCAGGAAAAGTATTGTAGACCTGCACCAGACTGGGAAGAGTGAATCTACAATAGGCAAGCAGCTTGGTGTGAAAAAATCAACTGTGGGAGCAATCATCAGAAAATGGAAGACATACAAGACCACTGATAATCTCCCTCGATCTGGGGCTCCACGCAAGATCTCATCCCGTGGGGTCAAAATGATCATGAGAACGGTGAGCAAAGATCCCAGAACCACACGGGGGGACCTGGTGAATGACCTGCAGAGAGCTGGGACCACAGTAACAAAGGTCACCATCAGTAACACACTACAACGGCAGGGAATCAAATCCCGCAGTGCCAGACGTGTTCCGCTGCTGAAGCCAGTGCATGTCCAGGCCCGTCTGAAGTTTGCCAGAGAGCACATGGATGATACAGCAGAGGATTGGGAGAATGTCATGTGGTCAGATGAAACCAAAGTAGAACTTTTTGGTATAAACTCAACTCGTCGTGTTTGGAGGAAGAAGAATACTGAGTTGCATCCCAAGAACACCATACCTACTGTGAAGCATGGGGGTGGAAACATCATGCTATGGGGCTGTTTTTCTGCCAAGGGGACAGGACGACTGATCCGTGTTAAGGACAGAATGAATGGGGCCATGTATCGTGAGATTTTGAGCCAAAACCTCCTTCCATCAGTGAGAACTTTGAAGATGAAACGAGGCTGGGTCTTCCAACATGACAATGATCCAAAACACACCGCCCGGGCAACAAAGGAGTGGCTCCGTAAGAAGCATTTGAAAGTCCTGGAGTGGCCTAGCCAGTCTCCAGACCTCAACCCCATAGAAAATCTGTGGCGGGAGTTGAAAGTCCGTGTTGCTCGGCGACAGCCCCAAAACATCACTGCTCTCGAGAAGATCTGCATGGAGGAATGGGCCAAAATACCAGCTACTGTGTGTGCAAACCTGGTAAAGACCTATAGTAAACGTTTGACCTCTGTTATTGCCAACAAAGGTTATGTTACAAAGTATTGAGTTGTATTTTTGTTATTGACCAAATACTTATTTTCCACCCTGATTTACGAATAAATTCTTTACAAATCCTACCATGTGGATTCATGGATTTTTTTTTCACATTCTGTCTCTCACAGTTGAAGTGTACCTCTGGTGCAAATTACTGACCTCTGTCATCATTTTAGGTGGGGGAACTTGCACAATCGGTGGCTGACCAAATACTTTTTTGCCCCACTGTAGAACATTTAAAAACCCGAAGGCACACTAAAGTGCTTCACAGTAATATGGAGAGTCAGCATGAGTCAATAACAGGGTACAAATCGGGCACTAGCACAGACAGGATAGAGGCACTAACAGACCAGAAGAGTTAGATAAATACAAAATCTGCTAAGAAGACAAAAACAGCAGTAAAATGAATAATAAAATAATAAATTTAATACAATTTAATAAAAGATTTAAAAGTTTAAAATTTAAAAGATTTAAAAGGGTATTAACTGGTCAGGAAAGCCAAGTCAAATAGATATGCTTTCATTTAAAGGATTGGATAGAGTCCAAGGCTCGAATAGAAGCAGGGAGACTATTCCAAAGGTTGGGTGCAGCTGAAGCAAAGGCACGATCGCCTCTGGTCTTCAGTCTAAACTTAGGTTGGGCCAGGAGTAATTGACCTGATGATCTTAATGCACAACAAGGAGTGTACAGTGTACAGTGAGGTAGCTGGGCGCATTTTACCCAAATGCAATCAGGATAGCACACCTTTCACTTTGATCTTGTCGCACTGTTTTTCTTGGTCTTCATGCATTCATACTGCACTTTATTGTGTGTTTTCAGGGGGTTGTTGTTGTTGTTTTTGAATTAGTTGTTGTTTTTCAGTGCAGACAAAACTCCATAGCATGCTTTGCATATCATTTGGTCTTGCTTAGTGTCACTTTCCCAGTATGGCCACAGTATGTCTAAACAACAGATAATGATCCACATTGAGGGACAATCTCTTCAGCTTCTGCTGTGTCAGACGCGTGAATTTGGTTGTTTATCTGTCTTTATACATAGTGTTACTCGTCCAGACTAGTCCAGGAATCTTCATGCTGCATGTTGCAGGGGACAGCTCTAATTGGCACAAGCAGGCATGTCATCAGGGGCTGTCTGAGTGAGTACTTGATTTTCTTCTGCTTTGTGTTCTGTATTTGGAACACTCATTTTTAGTATCGCTCCATCATGTCCATTTAATTGTAGAAAGCCAAAATTGTGATCAAGATTGAAATCCAACTAATTGTTGAATATTAAAAATAAACAACACCCGTCCATTCATGAATTTATTTAGGGAAATGGTCAGTAATAAATATAGTTGAGGGCAAAAAAGGATTGGTTAACTTGCTTATATTAGAGTCAGGTGATACTGAATAAGGATAGCAGTCAGCCATCATTGTCATCTTGTTTTTATCTAAAAAATTAGGTTAGTTAACCTCCAAGGACCTGGCGTCCACATATGTGGACATCACATTTTGGGTTGTCTAGACCAAAATACTTAATTTTTCTCTA